TTTAAATGGAAAGGCTGATCGTTTGCCAAAGGACAATAGGAGCTGACAGATCAATGCTGTCCCCTTTCCTCTGCTGGGTGGATGACTTGAGGCACATTTCATGGGTCTGATCAGAAGGGAATGAGAATTGGGTGTCTGTAAAAATGATTAAAAGAACGAGAGCATCTCTTTCTTGTTTTACTGGCCTCCCCCTGCACACACACACACACACACACACACACACACACACTTATCCTGGTGTCACACCTAGGTAACCACCTGCCTACACACCAGCGTTTGAGACACAGTAGAACATGACAGGAAGTAGAAGAGGGAAGGAGTGACTGTCCAGCCCGGCCTCTGAAAGGTGACAGTGGAGACTGCCTCTTCCAAGGAGGGAGGATATTTCCTCTGTGTGGCACCGGGGCACAGGTAAGATGGATTAGGGGCAGGTCTGTTTGGAGCATGGAACTTCACATATGAAAGGCTGCCTGTTGGCCTGTTTGGTGGAGCATGGAACTTCACATATGAAAGGCTGCCTGTTGGCCTGTTTGGTTCCAACCAGAGAAAAAAATTACACATACTTATATATGTAATTTGAATATTGAGTATTTGTATCTATATTTGTTCCTGCAGGGAAATCTGTTGCAAGGAACTAGCTTATATAATGGCGAAGAAAACTCCAGAACATATAGCAGATGGCCGGGAAAGATAAACTGGAATTCCTAGGCAAAGGGTGGAACTTCTCCAGAGATCATGTTTCATCAGAGACACCTCAGTTCTATTCTTAAAGCCCTTCAACTGATTAGATGGGGCCTGCCCAATCAAGCACCCAGGATAGTCAACCAATTGCAAATTTTGTTTGGTTTTTCGAGGCAGGGTTTCTCTGTCTTGGCTGTCCTGGAACTCACTTTGTAGACCAGGCTGGCCTCGAACTCACAGAGATCTGCCTGCCTCTACCTCCCTAGCGCTGGGATTAAAGGTGTTCACCACCACTGCCTGGCCTGATTACAGATTTTAATCACACCTACTAAATGCCTACACACACACCTTGGCTAGTGTGGAGTGATTGTGTGTGCCACAGTCTGGCAAAGTTGACACATCCCAAATCAATCACACTGTGAATCTTATGACTAGAGATGGGCTATAATAGAAAAATGTTCAATTTAATTAATTAAAATAAATTTTTAAAAAATATTCAGTAACAAAAAATGGTTTCTGTGTTGTTTTGTGTAACATCTACTAGCCATTTGTAGCTCCTGAGTATGGTGAGCTGTACTACTGAGAAAGTAAATTTTGGATTTTATTTAATTTTAACTTGAATCAATTCTGAAGTATAAGTTAAGGTCACCGTTGATATTATTGCTAGTTAAAAAGAATAAATTCACCAGGCAGTGGTGGCGCATGCCTTTAATCCCAGCACTTGAGAGTCAGAGGCAGGCAGATCTCTGTGAGTTTGAGGCTGGCCTGGTCTACAGAGTGAGTGCCAGGACAGCCAGAGCTACAGAAAAAAAGAAAAGAATATTTGGTCAGAATTGATATCAAAGGGCATGGTGTTTTCTTGTTGTCTTCTGAGGCACACAGTGGGACTTCCCATTACAGCTATCCCCTTCCATGCTGGATTTGCAGTGTGCTAGTATCCCCCTGAGATCCCCTTGCATGCTGAGTTCACAGTCTGCTGGTATCCCCTGAGATCCCCTTGCATGCTGAGTTCACAGTCTGCTGGTATCCCCTGAGATCCCCTTGCATGCTGAGTTCACAGTCTGCTGGTATCCCCTGAGATTGCTAGTCTTGCCAGCAGCCCACACAATGCAGGTGTACATCTCAGCATGGAGCATACATCAGACTGCTTGTCTAGGGGCCCAGGTAGCCATGCTAGAAACAACCATGTTACATTCACTGAATCCCATTCTCTGACGGATGGGCTGAGTCACCACTCACTGTTGCTATGAAAACATGTGGTAGGAGAAATGCCATTTCAGAAACCTCAGTGATGTGTTAAGAATCAAATGCACAAGGACCACATTCCCCAAACACAGATCAGTGAGGCTGGAGCTCATCAGTGGCTACAGACCCTTTTAGAACACTTAGAACTGGAAACATGACTGGGAATAATTCTTGGATCACAAAGATTCAAAGAGGTTATGCCTTACTTAGATAACTGATAGCAAGCAACGAGATATTAGTTATCCCTGGCGTCTGGCATAGGCCTTGTGTTCATTGCGTTCCTGTTGAGAATATAAACACATGTCCTCATAATGACTTCCAATTCTGTCTGAGAGTGGAAGCTTGAGATATCAGCAAGCTATTCCTCTGGGCTAGGAAGCATGGGCTACCATTTCATTGCTCACTGACTGAGTAACTGACAGAAGGAATTTCTAACTTAAAAGGAATCTGCCAGGCTAAATCATTAATTGCATCTTACTGAGCTCCTGTTACGCTCCAGACTTCATTTCCTTCCTCAGCGAGCATGTCTCCTCCTTGGAGAAGAAGCACAATGTCAGTGTGAATCAGGGTTGCTCCAGGCCTTGCAACCACAGACTCGGGCCCTGCCTGAGTTCCTGACTACAACTTTCTGATAATGAGGATCAACCTGTCTGGCAAGCACCATATAAATCCACTCTAGCATAGCATCACACAATAGAAACTTAATGCTGGAGGGACTTAATGCTAGTGGGCGTGTGGAAGGCAGGGACTAGTGGAAGTGTGTCTCTGGGGGCATGTCTTTGAAGCCTAATGTCTTGGCCCAGCGCCTACCTGCTCCTCCTCTATATTTCCCAACTGCCATGTGGTAAGCAGCTTCCTTTACATGGCCCTGCCATGACGATATTCTGTCTTGCCTGGCATCCAGAAACACAGAGCCAACAACCACAGGCAAGCAGCCTTGAGACTGGGAAGCAAAGTAAGTCCTCCTCCCTTTTTTGTCACAGAGACAAAAACCAAAGATTTCATATAACGAAGGGAACAGAGCAGGCGAGATGAACGGCAAAGGCATATCATGTACCCTCTTAGATCTGAAGTAGTGTCGTTTTAGCATGTGGTAAACATTGGAAAAGCTGTGGATTACTTGTTTTACACTTTGAGGAGCAGAGCTGTGGTAGTTGGAATGTAACTGGCCCCACAAGCTCATGGGGCGTGGCACTATGGGAAGTGCGGCCTTGTTGAAGGCCGTGTGGGGTAGGCTTTGAGGCCTCTTTCGTTTATGCTTCACTCAGTGTTACAGTCCACTTCCTGCTGCCTTCTGATCAAGATGTAGTCAGCCCCATGTCTGCCTGCGCACTGCCATGCTCCCACCATGATGATAACGGACTGAGCCTCTGAACCGTGAGCTGCCATGTCAATTAAATGTTTTCCCTCATAAGGGTTGCTATTGCTAACTAAGACAGGAGCCACTACTCCAAGTCTTGGTGCTTTCTGCTATTTTATTAGGCAGTGCTCTTGTAGGATGTCATGGACTCTACTGATAGAACCATTTTTTGCCACAATATATCAAAGAAATATAATAATACCCCACCCTAACCATGACTCTCTAAGGTTACCTTTTCTGAAAAACATGTAAGTGGTTTAGCATAGTTTGGTAGAGCTCTTACAAGATGAAATGGACATAACATATTTGATCAAGGACAAATGCTGTATTTTGGGAAGAAGAGTTGGCTTCCAGTACAGTCAATGTCCTGCTCACAATTACCTAACAACCGATTCCTATGGGCTGCAGGAGACCCCAAGGAGGTGGTTAAGAAAGAACTGTAGGCCGGGCATTAGTGGTGTATGCCTTTAATCCCAGCACTTGGGAGGCAGAGGCAGGTGGGTCTCTGTGAGATCGAGACCACCCTGGTCTACAAGAACTAGTTCCAGGACAGCCTACAAAGCTACACAGGGAAACCTGTCTCAAAAAACCAAAATCAGAAAAAGAAAAAGAAAAGGAAAAAGAACTGTAGTACTCTGCCTTAGGTCATCCTCAAACGATCAACAGCATTCTCCCAGGGCCTTTGTAATAGAATAGACTTCTGAGTCAGCCACCCCTGGAATATACTCAGGACGCCTGTCCCCAGTGCTGTTATCTGTAGGCAGGGCCTTAGATGTGGGGAAAAGGTGACCTTTGTGGGTACTTGCTACTGCAGATCCAGAGACTAGCTAGTGCCAGTGACCACTAGGCACCCTAGGAACTCCTGGAGACAGGGACTGTGGCTTCCAGCGCAGTAAGGAGTGGTATGTTATCCTTTCAAGTTTCTACAGAATACTGTACAACCTCGATGTGCTCTGGGCTAAGTCGTGTCTGGAATAGCTATGCCAGTCAGGGGTTGAGGGAAGTAGTAAAGGCTAAAAGTGAGTACCAGAGATGGGGAACTTCGAGACACACTGGTAGGGACTGAGCTACACAAATATGTGGAACACAAAGCTGGCAGACAATGGTTTATTGTCAGGGTGACTCATTATGTTGTTTTTTTTAATAGGAGTACATAAGAAAGATCTGGTGGAGACATCAGAAAAGACTACATGGACCTGGTCAGGCTTGGCTGAGCTGAACTTGGCAATTTCAGCTAAACAAGGTTAGAAGAATCTGAGTAGAACTGAAAGACCTCAGGTAAAGAAAAGAACTAGGACAAAGTGGGCCAAAATCATTCTGGCAGGACCAGTGTGGTCCCGAAGGAAGACAGAGGTGTAGTGTTGCCAAAGATGAGCACAACCAGGCCGTGTTGGTCCTGGAATGTCAGCCTTTGGGCTCTGTAGTCTCCTTCGTATGAAATAGAGAAGGTTCTTGAGCAGGGCAGTATTGTGGTGAGATTGCAGTCGTTGTCAAAGGGAAAATAATTTTGCAGCTAGACAAAGGTTAAAATATTTTGACAAGAGATTATAGCCAGGAACCAGCCTTGTCCACAGGAGAGGGTCAGGACCTACGTGAGCATTGGGAAGCAGAGGGGAGGGGGGAGGAGGAGTGATTGCACTTTCCACTGTTGATTGCAGAGATGGTGTCTGAGTTTCTTTTTATTGCTGTGACAAAATACTATGACCATGGCAACTTAGGAAAGAAAGAATTTAATTGGGTTTGTAGAGGGTTAGAGTTCCTGATGGTGGAAAAAAAAACATGGTGACAGGAACAACTTGCAAGCTCACATCTTGATCCATATGCAGGAGACAGAGAAAGGGTGTGCTGGGAATGGCACTAGTCTTTTGAAACCTCAAAGACTGACACCTGTGTGGCACACCTCCTCCAGCAAGGCCACACCTCCTAACCCTTCCCAAACAGTTCCACCAACTTGGGGCCAAGTGTTCAAACATAGGAGCCTGTGAGGCCTTCTCAGTTGAACCACCATAGATAGGAAGGAAGAGGGGAAAGGTAATGTTTAAGAGATAGGTATTAATCTCTGCGAGTTCGAGGCTAGCCTGGTCTACAGAGAGAGTTCCAGGACAGCCTCCAAAACAATATAGAGAAACCCTGTCTCGAAAAACCAAAATAATAATAATAATAATATAGGTATTAAGAAAGAAAGGTAATAAAAGACTGGGGAGAAAAAAAGAGAGAATCAGGAATGAGAGGGAAATGGAGTGGGGAACTGGTGTAATTGACACAATCCTATGACCCCAGCACTTGGGAGGCAGAGGCAGGAGGAAGACACTAAGTTCAGAATCAGAACCAGCATGGTCACAAAACAAAACAAAGAAGAGGAGAGGAGGGAGGAGGAGGAAAGAAAAGGGAGCCACAGATGGCCCCAAGGATTTGAAGGCGGCAGGGCAGGTGGCGGTGACTTTCTAGGGAAACACTAGAATTCTCTCTCCAGAGTGCTCTGGGTCTTGGGATCACCTTCTCTTCTGATCCACACACCGGAATGAAGGTGATGGTTATGTCTGCTTTGACTGTGACCCTTTTCTGGTTGTTACTGGAGGGATTGTGAGCAGCAGAACAATTATCGCTTATGAGCAGTCCCACAATAAGATGGTAAAACATCTGTTGCTAGGAGACAGTGCACAGGCTTCTGCTGAGAGGGAGAGAAAGAAATGGTTATTCTCATTAAGTCAGCTAATGCTCAAAAAGGATTTTCCATTCAGTCCAAGGCAGATATTGTTCAAATTTTAGATGGCCCTTATACAGAAACTAGACTCCTCTAATTCCTGGCAGCCCCCGAGAGGAGCAGTTCCCACCTTTTCTTGCCCCAGCCTCTGGGCAGGTCTCTGCTGGGCTGGCACCTTGGGTATGTCACAGATCCAGCTGTGGAGCTGTGCCTGGTGCTGTGTCTCGCCTCTCGCCAGCCTTAGGCAGGGCCCCCATCACTCCCAAGTGACGGATTCGAAGTCCATCTCAGAAATGGCTGGAAATGACAGCAAAAACTGCCTGTGGGGAAATCTAAGCCCTCACTTCATGCTGTCGGGCAAAGAAAGAGGAAGAAAGGGGAAAAGGGGGAAAAGGAAGGGGGAGAATAACAGAATTTTGTTTCATTTTGTCTATGGACCATATTTGAGCATTTCATGGTTTCTTTTAGTTTTGGTATACTTTGTGGGAGGGATTTGAAAAACTCTTTAAAACCATGGCATTTAGTTGATAGAAAATTTACCCTTTTGTTTCCCCTGGAAGAAATCCAGCAATGGGCTGTTGACAAACATTCCCCTTTGCTGCCCCAATTCCTCTTGAAGCCAGTATGAGGTAATCAAACTTCTCTAAGCAAATACGTAACATGCTAATTTGCATTTTATTTCCATAAGAAATGATGCAGGGATTTTTCTCCTGTGGGAGAAACCCAACCACCAACCCTCTTGCGTTTCATCTTGTATCTTATTTCCTGCCTTCCTAGTCCTGTGAGATTTTCCCAGCCATACTGTGATCTCAAGCTACCACCACACCATTATCCAACTTGCGTTTAACAACCAAATTAAGTTACTCAGACCTTCATCCTGTGTAACCGCAGGAAATCCATTCACTTCCAAAATATTCCAGAGTAATCCAAAGAAATTAGTTACTACCCTCCCGAAACAGTTCCTCAAGGCTCTAGCTGGGCATCTGCTCCAAGGGTTAGTACAGTTCCTCTGCATTGCCAGAGTAGCTAAGCTGTGAGGTTAATCGGTTTTCTTCGGTGAAACGTGAAAACCTCCTGTGCCTGGGTCCCGGGCAGCGTCCTCTTTCCAGGTTTCTCCCAGGTTGGACTAGCTTTTGTTACCAGTTGTTTCACTCAAGGCCATCTTTACTCTTCTCCCCAAAAGCCCAGGTGCCGAACCTGGTGGAGAAAAACGAAAATGCGCTAACAACAATCTAACAGGACGTTCTTCTTCCCAAGAGATCCAGCCCACGCTTTTCTACTGAAGTAGATTTATTAGGATGATGTTCCTCACCTTTTATAGCAATTTTCTCGTTTCAAATTAGCCTCGGCTTTATCCCAGGCAATCCAACAGTCCTGTGAAGGGGTCCCAACAGAAGAGACACATTCTTCTAGAGCTCAATCAAGCACCCCCAGGAGCAACAGCCTCAGTCCGCCGACAGGGCTCGCTCCCCCAACAGAAGCATTCTAGACTGTTTACTTCTCTGCCCCTGATATCCTTATTTATAGTCAGTGTAACAGGGCGCATGTGCACACTGGAGCAGGTACTATTTCTGGATCAAGAACTGGGAAGGAAAAAAAGAGCCAACAATCAAGCATGAAGATGTTCGCACTCTATGGAGTCATCCGAGGGAAACTGCTACGTTGCAAAATCCCCACGCAGGGTTCAGATGGATGGCAGACTTGCATCCATTTACTATGCATCCTCAGTCAAGTTTTTAAGTAGTAAAGCAGGAATAAGAGTAGACCCATAGGAAGCCCGGCGTTGTTGGTGCACGTCTTTAATCTCAGCACTCGGGAGGCAGAGGCAGGCGGATCTCCGTGAGTTCGAGACCAGCCTGGTCTATAAGAGCCAGTTCCAGGACAACTTCCTACTTCTTACACTAGCAAATTTGTATTGTCATTCCCTATGAATGGGTGCCTTACATCCTCCATGGCTAGCCAAGTGAGCAAAAGGCCCATTAAGGGGGCTAGAAGAAGCCCACTGGACTTTTCATCTTTTTGCTGGTCTTGCTCCTTTTTTTCATTAATATTTTTAGTTAAAATACAGAATAATGGACTTCGTTACAGTGTATCTTTTGTACCTGTCATTGTCCCCATCATCCTCTGTCCCTCTTCTCTTGCCCTCCTGCTGTCCTCCCCATCCAAATAGTCCCTCTTCTGCTTAGAGAGTGTTAGATTACTGATGTATAGTTTCCGATGTGTAAAATACTATGAAAAACCATTCTTATTGCCTAAACTATTTATTGCATGAAATAAAGTTTATGATGAAAATATTTCATCAGACTAAGCTCAAATGCAACAGATTTACCAACAAAGACACCAAGTAATTAGGCTGAATTGTGAAATGGTACAATTTCCCCCAACAGGAGATGGCAGGGGCCCTGTTTACCCAAGGCTAACCTTTCAGTGATATGGTTCTCCTTCAAGAATTTTAATAAAAGTCAAGTATATCTTCAAACCAAAGTTATCAAAATTTTGTTTTTTAACAATTGCCTTTCTGAAGTTCAAGTTTAACTGGTGTCAACTACAAAGGAAACTCCATTTCCCCAAAAACTAAAAGGCGAAAGGTACAAATGGCTATCTGTGGTGCCTATTGGCACACCAAAGCTCGTGCTGGACCCCAGGCACCTTCAGTATCAGTACTTGCTACATATTTCAAAGTCCTAGCCCTTCCCACCTCCTCCCTACTCTAACCCTCCCCAGCTCAAGGGCTCCCCTCCTCTGGCTGCTCCTTCTCACAGCCCTGCTACTTCGGCCATGCTCTCTCTGTTTCCTGTAACACCACCACCACCCGGACCTCACCACTCACCTGTCTTCCTGGCTCTAAAGCTCTGCTCCCCCTCCCCCACCCCTCCCCTCAGCTCCTGCTTGCCTCGTGTCCAAGTCCAGTCTGCTGGCCATGTTCAGTCTCCTTCTTTCTCTCCGTGCTCTAGACTCTTCCAGAGTCTCTGGCTGTTCTCTCGTATCTACAATAAAAAAATCTTCCCTTAACCATACCATAGAGCAATCATGTTGTCAACTTGTACATTGGATGCCTTGGTTTTCTCCAGCAACTATCATCTAGAACTTCCTTCAAAGTGCAGATCAAATAAGATGGCACTCTGTTGAGTTCCTGTTGCTCTCCAAAGGGAAGCAAAGCTCTCTCAGTAGCCTGTCCAGGTTGACTCGGCCTTCTTCAGCCTGGAGTTCTCTTTTCCAGGCCATTGTTTGGCTCCTTCCTTTCTGATCCAGCTTCTCTTCTCAGTTTGCCCACAGTGAAGCATCTCTGGTGCGGTCTTTGCCCTGTGGCTTCCCGTATAATTGTAAACCATACCCCACACTGAGAAGCCTTGCCTAATCTCTCCTCGTGTCATTGAGCTCCATGAGGTTTCAGAACCTGTCCAGCCTCTTTTTCTGGTCTCAACATTTCAAATAGCATCTGGTACCCAGTAGGCTCTCAATAGATACTGGTTGGGTAAATTGTATTGAAGGGGCCAGACCCTCACCCTGCTTTAGCTGCCATGACAAGCGGCAGAAAAGACTGAACATGTGCTTGCCTGACCTTGCCCCTCCTCCGAGTCATTAGAAGGTCACACACCCACGTGTCAAGGAACCAGTCAGAAATTAGCTGGCATGCGTTATGGTGCTTTATGGCACTTATGGTAAAAGTGACATAGCAACCGCCCTGGGAGGGCCTATAGGCCATAACAACCAGTTGACCAATCGACACAGTACAGGTCGTCCAAGCCCGGAAGTACACCAATCCTGAGACTGTTGCAAACCCCTAGACACCCCCCTACTCTACCCAATATCACCCCCCCCATGTTGGATGGATGAAGGGCCTGAGTTAATGGGTTAACTCGTTAAACAATAAAAGACTCTTTGCTTTTACATCTCTTGGTGATTTGAGGGTTCCGAATCTGGGCACAACATTACCTGTACTTAAGCACAGAGATAGAGTCCTTTGAGCATTGTGATGCTGCACCGTTCATTTGTCACCAGGTCACCGGTGTTTCTATGTATCAACCTATAGAAGGTGAGAGAAACTGCATCATTGCTTGTTGAGTTGGGTTGGGTCCACACAGACAGGCTGAGAACAAAATGTCCATGACCTACCATCAAGGGAAGGCAGTAAGTTACAAAGTAGTGTGAGGCATGATCCTTTTAACACTCATAATGTATGTATCTATTCTGTGACTCACACTTGTTAAATGTGTCTACATACAAATGTCAGATAAATGGCTATGAAAAACCAGACACACAGACGTAAAGAGTGGGTCTTCCTAGGGGCTAGGATTATAAATAGACATTTTCCCTTTAGATTTACTTGAACATTTTGTATCAGCATACTATCAACATATCAGTATAATAACATTGTGTATCGATTAATTACAGTGATTATACTCAGAAAATGAAATTAAGTTATTTCTGGTTTTTATTTGGTTGGTTTGGTTTGGTTTTAGTTTTGGTTTTTCAAGACAGGGTTTCTCTGTATAGCTCTGGCTCTCCAGCTCCTATTTCTGGGATTTTGTTTGTTTGTTTTGCTTTGTTCTGTTTTTTTTTTTTGTGCCTGTTTAACGTTTTTACTTTTTATTTATCCTTCTCTCATATCTTATATACTGAACACAGTTTCCCCTCCCTCCTCTTCTCCCAGGCCCTCTCCCCCAGATCCACTCCTCCTACGTCTCCCCTCAGAAAAGGGAGACCCTCCCAGGGATGCCAACCAAACATGGCCTATCAAGTTACAATAAGACTAGGCACATCCCCTCATATTAAAGCTGGATGAGGCAACCCAGTAGGAGAAAAAAGATCCCAGAAGCAGGCAAAAAGATCAGAGGCAGCCCCTGTTCCCACTGTTGGAAGTCCCACAAGAGGACCAAGACAACCGTGACATATTTGCACAGAGCCTAGGTCAGACCCACACACACTGCCTGATTATGGGTTCAGTCTCAGTGAGCCCAGGTTAGTTGATTCTGTGGGCCTTTTTCCTGAGGTGTCCTTGACCCCTCTGGCTCCTACAGTCCCTCTTCCCATCTTCCACAGGATTTCCTGGGCTCCACTCCTGAGTGTACACCCAAAGGACACTCCATCCCTCCACCAGGACAATTGCTCAGCTGTGTTCATAGCAACTTTATTTATAGTAGCCAGAAACTGGAAGCAACCTAGATGTCCCTCAACTGGATTAAGAAAAGGTGGTACATTTACACAAGGAGCATTATTCAGCTGTTAAAATTTGCAGTCTAAGCTGGGCGTTGGTGGCGCAACCCAGCATCCGGGAGGCAAAGGCAGGTGGATCTCTGAGTACGAGGCTACCCAGGACAGGCTCCAAAGAAATACAGAGAAACCATGTCTCAAAAAAATTTTGCAGTCTAATGGATGGAACTAAAAGAAAAAAATCATACTGAGCAAAATAACCCAGACACTGAAGACAAACATGGTATGTACTCACCTATTTCTGTCTATAAAAGAAGAAAGATGGGTTTAATAATAATAAATTTGATACTTGAAGTGTATTACAGGATCTGAAGTGATGGCTGACAGAAAATGACAAGTGACTTTGAAACCCAGAAGACGTTCCTGGTTTCTGCAGTTACTCCAGGTTATGTACTCACATCTGAAGACTTGGCGCTACAGGCGAAGAGAACATGTGACCTTTGTCTTCCCAAGTCTGGGTTACCTCACTTGGCGTTATCTTTTCTAGTTCCATCCATTTACCTGCAAGGTACATGATTTTTATCTTTTGGAACAGCTGAATAGTAGCCCATAGTGTCCATGTACCATGTTTTCCTTATCCATTTGTCAGCTGAAGGACATCTGGGTTGTTTCCGTTTCCTGGCTGCTGTGAATAGAGCAGCAGTGGACATGATTATCTGAGGAGTAGGATGTCTGGTCCTTTGGAAATGTGCCAAGGAGTGGCATAGCTGGTCACACGGGGGATTCAGTAGCTTTTTAGGAATTCACACACACACTACTTTCTACAGCGGCTGCCCCACTTCACTCCCACCAACAGTGGGTAATGGTTCCCTTTTCCCTACATCCCTCCCAGATGTTGTTGTTGGCTGTTTTCGTTGATCTTTCAGAATGGGGTCAAATGAAATCCCAAAGTTGGTTTGATTTGCAGTTCCCTGACTGCTAGGGATGACAAACATGTTTTGAGATATTTCTTAGCCTTAAACACACACAAAGAACCCCAGGCAGCTAAGTAATGCTGAGAGAAGGAGACCTCATCCTACTGGGGAAGAGTACAGTGCATCTGGTGAAGGTTGCTTGCGTGAACAGGGGCTGGGGATCATTTGCTAGAGCAAGAGCCACTTGCCAGTGGCTACGACACTGAAGAAAATGTCTCTTCCACTCCAGAAGCCAGACTGCCTCTGCCTTTAAATCCTCGGGGACAGATAGGGCCTTGGGAGCTTCTCCCTCAAGAGATTAATGTCTTGTAGTACTTTTGAAAAGGTGTAAGGTTCAAATTTCAGTGTCTATTTTAAAAAGTTTTCTTAGAACATGGTCAAGTTCACTCAGTTTCATGTTTCCTGTGTGGCCTGGGGGAGGAACCAGAGTATATAAAGGAAGTATATAGAGGATATAGGTATATAGAGGATGTGTATACAAGGTCTAGAATTTATAGAGGGAGTGTATACAAGGTCTAGAATTTATGGAGGATGTGTATACAAGGTCTAGAATTTATAGAGGGTGTGTATACAAGGTCTAGAATTTATAGAGGGAGTATATACAAGGTCTAGAATTTATAGAGGGAGTATATACAAGGTCTAGAATTTATAGAGGGAGTATATACAAGGTCTAGAATTTATAGAGGGAGTATATACAAGGTCTAGAATTTATAGAGGGAGTGTACACAGGGCCTGGAGTATGTAGGGGCCAGTGAAAACTAGGGCTGGGGAGCTCCATATATCTGCCCATGAAGCCAGCCCTCATTCTTGCTGGGTGAGGCTTTTTTGATGTATCTGGTTCAGGGAGTAGTGCCCACACCCCTGTAACCCCTCACCTAGGCTCTGTAAGGAAGCCCAATAAATTCAAGGTTCCCTAGAGTGAGTTTTGGCAGAATTGTGTCTCCATTTGCCTTTGAGACCTTAGGAGAAGAAGAAAGACTTTAGCCTGCCCCTGGAAAGAATGTTAACAATACAGAGATAGCATTATGTATATAAATATGAATAAACAGTGAGTTCTCCCATAGGGAAGAGCCCTGTGGCAACTGTTCCCATGTTGTTATTGTTGGGTTTTTATTCATTATTATTTTTAACTTTTTGTGTACGAGTGTACATTTGCATACTAGTTTGTGTGTTTTGATGCACCATGTGTGCTCTTGGTGCCTACAGAGGCCAGAAGAGGGAATTAGGTTCCCTGGAACTGGATATGCAGATGGTTGTGAACCACTATGTGGGTGCTGGGAATTGAACTCAGGACCTCTGGAAGAGCAGCCAGTGCTCTTAACTAATGAAGTATCTTCAGCCCTGCCACCCTCCCACTTGGTTGTGACTCAAAAGGAAGCCCCTATAGCTGTGTGACAGGCTCGCCAATAACATTCCGCTGTGTCAACAGAGGGAGAGCGCACGTGTGCATGATCGCTTATGTCTCCACAACCTCAACTCTTTGTTTCATGAGGAACTTAGAAGTAGTGGCTCCCCACTGGAGAGGCAGGGGCGGAAATGAAGGAAGCCTTTGACTCTGTCATTCTTTGATGCTCTTTCCATATTTAAATCACTGAATGCGCGACTTTTAAAATAATTTGTAAGAGATGAAAAAATTCACGAGTGATGCGCCCTTCGTCTTTCTCAGTGATCTGGTCCAGACCTCCCCCTCCCATGCCTCCTCTCTCCTCAGCAGAAAGGGGAGGTGGGCATGACTTCCTGCTCTTACAGTGCTCTCTGAGCTGTCAGGAAACAGGGTTCCTGCTTTCCGCCTCACCTTGGGGATTCCATCTGACGCATCTGCACTGTGCTATTCAACAGTACCGCACTCCTGTCCACTCATGGTCCCCTCCGCGTCTTCAGTGTCCCTTCCCCACGCAGACCAGCCACCACCCTCCGTCACCCTTTCTCCTCTATTGCCACGATGCTCTGACCACCACCTTTCCCTGCCAGAGGAGCAGCCTCCTTGTCAGAAGACCCCTTGGGGAAGGCCTCCGCTTCTGAAAAGGGGACAGGCTTCTGCCTTAAAAACAAACCACTCAGCACTCTCAAGCTGTTCAAGTCCATTCTGCCGGCTTGGCCACCAGAGTGAGTTTTCTTACTGCTTCAGTGTCCTCTGTCTCTGGAGCCACCACGACTATCCTCAGTGCCAGATGGCCTCACTGTGACATTTCCCTGCGCTGCTCCCCTACTCTGACCTCTAGAGTGGAGGCTACACCACGTACCCGTTTGGATGGGCTTCTGTCCTCTGATTTCCACTATGGTCTTTTGCAGCTCATCAAATGCTTACTCCTATGTTTCCAGGGCATTATCTAAGGAGTTGCCTCATCCCCATTTTCCCTTTAACTCTAGCGAAGTGGTTACCCAACATTGAACTTGGCTCTGTCTTTTAGATCTGAAGTTCCCCCAAATGTCTTGTGTGTAAGTAAAGGCGTGGTCCCCAGCGTAGCCATGTTCGGGTGGGGCTTTCTGAAGGTCTCAGATGGCGAAGACTCTGCTTTCATACTTTGATGGGATTACCAGCAGCTGATGGAAACCTTAGGAGGCGACACTCAGACTAACTGGGTCACAGGGCATTTGCCCAGGAAGGGTTATCTTAGCCCGGGCCCCCTCCTGTTTCCTGTCCTCCATGACATAGGCAGCCTGCTCCACTGCCTTCACTCCAATGCTGCGTTCTGCGGCACCACGGCCGTGCACCAAAGCTGATGACATCGGACAGAAGACTCCTCGCCTATTTAAGTTGACCGGTCCAGGTATTTTGTCACAGCAATGGAAAACTAAGACCTCTAGCTAGCGCAGCCTTGTCTTCTGAGCTGTCCATCTCACCCAGCTCTCTGCTCCTGACTCATCACATGTCTGAGCCTTTTCACATTTCCTAGTG